CTGACGTTTCGGGCCTAGACCCTTCTTCTGAAGAAGGGCCCGAAATGTCAGCCTTCCTGCTCCTCTGATGCTGCTTGGCCTGTTGTGTTCATCCAGCTCTACATCTTGTTATCAAAGAATTGCAGATGCTGGAAATCAGAAACAAGAACAGAAATTGCTAGAAAAACTCAAACAACATAGCAGCATCCTTGGAGAGAAAGAAAGTTAATGTTTTGGGTCCAGTGACCCCTCTTCAGAACTGATTGTAGCTTGGAAAAGGTTGGTATACATACTGAACATGGGATGGGTGGAAGGGGAGGAGAAAATGATAGGTGAAGATGGAGCCCAAAGAGAGAGAGACAGAGAGGAATCAACAGTTGGGCAGATAAAGGAATGGGTAAAGGTCAGCCTGGGAGAATCAACAGCTGCTAATGGGGACTAGGAGTAGCTGACAATAGGTTGTTTGTGGTAGCAGCCCGTGTGATGACAAGGCCTGGTACATCAGGGTTGGGGTAAGGACATGGGAGAAGGTGCTCAGGCTCTAAAAGTATTAAACATGATATTGAGTCCAGAAACCTGCAGGGTACCCAAGCAGAAAATGAGAAGCTCTTTCAGCTTGCGCTGAGCTTCACTACAGTACTGCAGCAAGCCTGGGACAGACATGTTGGCTAGGTGTGTTAAAGTGGCAGACAACAGGAAGCTCGGAGCCATTTTGTGGACATACCTATGGATGTTGTTTATATGGACTTCCAGAAGGCATTTGATGAAGTCCCACCCAAAAGACTGCTAACTAAGGTTGAAGCCCATGTAACTGAGGGCAAATTATTGACAAGGCTGGGAAATTAGTTGAGTGGCAGACAACAGAATGTAAGGATAATGGAGAGGTACTCAAATTGGCAGGACATGACCAGTGGTGTCCTATAAGGATCAATGTTAAGTCCTCAATTATTCACATTATTTATTAACAACTTGGATGATGGCATAGAAAGTCATATATCCAAATTTGCTGTTGACACAAAATTAGGCGGCATTGCAGACAGTGTAGATGATAGCTTAAAATTACAAATGGGCAGTGATAGACGAAGAGAAGGGGCAAAACTGTGGCAAATGGGAGTTCAAGGTAAGCATGTGCAAGGTTATCTATTTTGGACTGACAAAGGATAGATCGGGGAGTTTGTAGATGGTACGAATTCAAATACAGTGGATATCCAAAGAGACTTGAGAGTTCAGGTATATAGATCTTTAAAATGTCACAAACAGGTGAAGAAAATAATCAAGAAAGCTAATAGAATGCTGGTCATTATACCGAGAGGACTGGAATACAGGAATGCAGAAGCTATGCTGCAGTTATACAAAACCCTGGTGAGCCCTGCTTGGAGGTCTGTAAGTAGACCTGGGCACCACACCTGAGGAAGGATATATTGGCATTGGAGGGAATACAGTGTAGGTTTACAAGAATGATACCTAGACTTCAGGGGTTAGGTTATGAGGGGATATTATCCAAATTAGACTTGTTTTCTCTAAACTTTAGAAGGATAAAGGGTCTTCAACACTCTATGACTTTACCAGGAAAAGATAGGATAGATAAAGATAAAATATTTCCACTATTTGGAAATTCTAAAACTAGGGAGCATAGTCTGAGAATTAGGGCCAGATCATTCAGGAGAGATGTTAGGAACACTTCTACACACAAAGGGTGGTTGATATTTGAACTCTATTCCACAAACAATAGTGAATGCTGAATCAGTTGTTAATTTTCAATCTTAGATAGATAAAGTTTTATTGAGCAAAGGTATGAAGGCATATGGGCCAAAGGCAGATACATGAAGTTAGGCCACAGATCAGCCATGATCTCATTGAGTGATGGAAGAGGCTTGAGGGGCTGCATGGCCTCCTCCTGTTCCTATGTTCCTAAGCAGTGGAAAGATTTTCCTCTGATTCCCACTGACTCCAGTTTTGCTAGATCTCCTTGATGCTACACTTGGTCAAAGGCAGTCTTGATATCAAATGCAGTTCAGCATTTTTGCCCATGTTTGAACCAAGGAGCTGAGTGGGCCTGGCAGAACCCAAAGTGCACGTCAGTGAGCAGGTTGTTGCTGATATTGCTAATGATCAACTCCTTCAGGATTATATACAACATCACTCCATAAGTTTTTTAAATAAGCAATACTGCGAAACATTCATCTATATAATTACATTTACCATATAATTACCTTATCTCTGCCCAAATATTTGACTTTATACCTTTAGTCAGACAATCTGGTGGTATCACTATTCTCTTGGAATGTTCTCTTCAGACTAGAAGAATAGTAGTTTTTAGTTCCCTGGGAATGTATTTCTGGTACTCCAAGTTCTCTTCTGAACTGCAGGTCCTTGAATCTCTTGCATCTCTTTATTAGAGGATGTGGTCCGTTCCAGAGCAGGCAATTTGTAGTATTTTCTCTTCTTAATGATATCTTCCATGGAGTTGTGGGCATCATACCTTCAAATTATGTTGGTGGATTTTTGTTTTCAATTCACCTATAGATATTTATTCTCACCAGTAGATGTGAGCTTAAGTAGTTATATTTTTCACTCAAACTTGATTAGTTTGCCTCAGTGACTGAATTATGGGTGAAATCAAATTGTTCAATTCCTCAAATAAAACACAAAACTGCAGATGTTGGAGATCTAAAATAAACAAAAACAGAAATTGCTGGAGAAACTCAGCAGGTCTGGCAGCATCAGTGAAGAGAAAATAGAACTCATATTTTGAGTCCAGTGACCTCCTTCAGAACTGATTCTTTCTGAAGAAGGTTTACTGGACTTGAAACATTAATTCTGATTTCTCTCCATTTATTGGTCAGACCTGTTAATTTTCTCCAGCAATTTCTGTTCAATTCCTCAACTGTGTTTCTCGAAGGTTCCTTCTTGCTTGATGTGATATTGGTTATTGAGGATTCTTCTTTGGGAAGCAGGGAGGTCAGAAATTCTACTTGAACTTGTCCCTCCCTAGTAATTCCAGCATTCAATATGGTGACTTAAATTTATCACAATTAGTTGTTCGTCCTGATGTGTTGCAATCTGACACAATTCAGTTGCAGATGCTTCAGTTGTCTCAACTGTTTGTTGATACCTCTTTTTAGTCTTTCTTCTTGAAATGTGTTGGCACCTAGAATCTATACGCTCTTTGCTTTTGATATGAGTGGAAAACATTTCTACCAAACTATTTTACCCTCGGCCAGGCCAACTGTCTGTGTGGAGTTTGCACATTCTCTCCATGTCTGCGTGGGTTTCCTCCGGGTGCTCTGGTTTCCTCCCACACTCCAAAGATGTGCAGGTTGGGTGGATTGGCCATGCTAAATTGTCCATAGTGTTCAGGGATGTGTAGGTTAGTTGGGTTATAGGGGATGGATTAGGGTGGGATGCTCTGAGGTTCAGTGTGGACTTGTTGGGCCAAAGGGCTTGTTTCCACACTTTAGGGATACTATGATCTATTATAGTAACGGCTTTCCATCTCATAAATAATACAAAATAAATTTCTTATTCCAATGTAATTAATTTCAGGAGATTCATTTTTTTTAGATTCCACCATTAGCTTACAAAGTCTAGTGAAATCTTCTACTGACTGTCCTTTCATCTTTTGTTGTTTAACTCCCCTCCAGCTTTTGAATGATATTCAGGGCAGTACATGCCTTTCAATTCAGGAGTGACTGACTATTCCTGAATATATATAGATTTTCAAGAATTTAGTGTCCCCTATGTTAATGAGTTGAGATTTTCTTGTAGTATAACTTTAAGTACAGTGCACTCTGTTTACTTCTTTAAATCGCCCAATGCTTATGTGCTTTAACAGACTGGGTTCACAATTTCTCTTGCTTTTTGCTCCCAGATTGTCCAAACTGCTCTCTGTTCTTTTAGTTCCATTTTATTTTTCTTTCTAGTTGTCCCTCTTGGCATCCGTGTCTATGGCAGTAACACCTGATCTGAGCTATAAACTAGTTTTTAAATTTATCATCCTCTCAGCCTGAATTACTATGCCATTTAAAGTTTCCCTTTTGTACCAGGGATTTTTAGTTTTAACTCATGCAATTGCCTGTCTGTTCAGTCACTGGCTAAACTTGGACTTGGGAACACTCCCACAGACCACCACCTTGTGATGCAGCTTATACATCAACTTTGGAACTGCAGACTTCTTCTGTTCCAGAACATTCCTTACTGGGTTTGAAATGCTTTCAGTCATTTCTTGAAGTAATCTTCAGTGTGGGATATTTCCATGTGGTTTTTGTTCAGGTTTGCTGTCCTAACGAATCAGCAATATCTTCTCACTTGAAGTCTTTGGCGTTGTCAGTTGGACCAGTGTTGCTGAATTCAATCTTCATCACGTGCTGATCACCACATTGTGTACTGCTATCTATATTGTCTTAGCATGTGGGTTCTTTAGGTGTTTACATGTTCTAACACATAAGAGAGTAGTTATTTTCTATTCTAATGAGAAGAGTCTTGTAGAGTAAATAAGGTACAGTTTATTGCATCACTGCAAATATTTACAGGTTATAATAGGCATTACATTACCACAAGTACAGCTGGGAGAACCTAGCTTGAGGTACATCTCCCACAAATTCCTATCTTATCCCCATCATGTCTTATGACATCATTACAGTGGGTGGTGCTTATTGCACTCACTCATTCAGACCCTCATATAACAAGCACCTCAAACACTCCCACAGCACTGAGATCTTCTGACCAAAAGAGAACCGTGGCTGAGGAATAGCTTGGGCCGCTGGAGTTGTATCTAATTGAAGTGTAAATGCTTCCTGAATAGATTACAGGAAAATGGAAAATAGTCAGTATTATGTGGCACAGGCCAGCATACTGCTCAGAGCCTGAATGATGTAGGGAACAGAAGATGACAATGTAGCACAGAGAAAATTTAAAGTCGGGTAGAGTTCTGACAGTACACTGAACCAAGTTATAGGCCTCATTATTATTACAGCATGCAAGACTTACATTCCCATTTTAAACATGTAAGAGTTGAATAATCTCTATATTACAGGTATGTCTCGATTTGCTTAAAAACTTCAAAAGATGTTCAAATCATAGCTCACCTTAACAAAGCAAAAACGTATGAAGTTTTCAAAGCCCTTTTTGTGCTCAGAAGAGTAGAAAGCAGACACTGGAATTGTGACCAAGCCCTATGAATAGAAGTAATAGCAAAGAGTTAGAAGTTTTGTGTGCCAATTAATTTAGTGGGATTCCATTCACTATCTGCATCCACCCTCCAGGTGGGAAAGAACGTGCTGTGCCTCTGGCCAATCCTGGGCTTTGCTGGAGCACTGCAGCAGGCCTAGGTCAGTACTGTTAGCATGTCTGCAAGATGGTTTAATGAAATTGCAAACAACTGGAAGGCCGGGTGATCGCATTTCTGGGCACCCTCACTGTATGTTCCATTTGTTCCTTCTCCCTATTTATCAAAAATATTAAAAAAAACATCATTTTCCCACCTACTTCTGTTCTGAAGATGGGTCACATTGGATTTGAAACATCAACTCTGTTTCTTGTTCCATCGATGCTGCCAGATCTGCTGTATTTTTTCAGCACTGTTCTATCTCAACTATGTAATCTACACTCGTAATTTATCTTTGGGGAGTCCAGTTATCATTCTGGTAAATTGACACCGCGGTCCCTTGAAGACAAGTTCATCCTTCATAAAATGTGATGCCCAGAACTGCTCACAGCATTCTAGGTGTAGTCAAAATGAGGGTTTTGTATAGCTGTAGCATAACTTTCACCCTCCTGCAATGTAGTTCTCCATCAACCTTTTCAATTATTTTTATACTGTTCATGACATTTTAATAATTTATGTACCTGAAAGACATCTTGAGACATCTCTTTCTAGATTTCCATTATGAAAATATGAATTATTCCAATATCCATTATGACCAGTGTGCAACGTACATGGTTATTAGTGCATGAGATAAAGGTTAACCTGGATGATCCACAAATGTTTGAAAATTTCCCAAATATACAGAACTTCTAGCCACAAATACAAAATTGCTTCATGCATTGGATAAAGATTCTCTCAACAGGTTGTTCACGTTCAGAATCAGTGAACAACTACAAATTTTGGTCAGCTAGATTCAACTTTACATGAGTTAGCCCCACCATTTCACAGTTACCCACCTTATTAGTTATGAGCCACTTCACAAATCTATAATCATACGGCTCCTCAGTGTCGGTGGAGACTGGCAGATCAACCTCTGATAGGAAAGGTACAAAACAAGGAAGTCAGCTATTTCACACAGAATAATCCAGTCCAATCATATTATAGTATACAACTCAAATATACATCAGTGAAGGCCAGACATTTCCTATCTGATAAAGTGGAAAGAGAAGGAAAAACATCTAATTCCCAACCAGCACCATGTGCATTTAGCAGCCAGGTAAGTTCATGATTGCAATGGGCCACACACAGTTCATGGTTTGGGGATAATTATATCTTAAAATAACAAGAAATTTCATTCAAAGCTAAATGGAACCAACAAAGTTGAATAGGAAACGAGGCATCTTTGTTTCTTCTCTCTACTTCGAAGGCTGTATTTGATACATGGTCCCCGGAACCACGTTACCCTGATTCCATACTACACATTGGCCAGACTTTAACTGGCCTAGAAAATCTCAAATTCCTTTTCGAGCGCTTATATACAGTTAGTTGTACTTCCCTTGTGATAACCAATCTGATTACTCACTGACTGCTGAGATGTCCACAATCAAGAAGTAACCACCCTCTGGCACAATTGGCTTTAGCCCCACAGAAGTGAGGCAGGCAGCAAGCTGGTCACGTTTCAATTGCAGTTCCTGACGCAAGTTGGTGAAATAACTGTCTGGTGCTCCTAAGCGTCCAAATTCTTTTACAAATCCTTCTGCTACAGCTTGCTGAGTAAAGAAAACCTTTGTTATTTAAATAGGTAATTTACTTCAATGACAATTCAGATTCAAAAGCCATTTTTGTATTGTATCATATACTTCAGTGCTGCAAATCTACAAAATGCTAAATTTCCACGGAGGGTGGCGGAGGAACAAAGAGGCAAAGGTGGGATGATAACAGGAGGTAACTAGAATGTCTTTGGTCCAAAGATTGGGTCCAAGATGATACTTCTATCAGTTATGATCTAAACTAATCCATGGTTGAAGCAGTAACTTTATGTTTCTGCCAGGCAAATCCACAGTATTTTAAACAGCTACTGGTAAATGACTAGTGTGGCTCATTGATAAGTCAAAAATTTGCTTAGGTTTGTTCTGAAGAAAGAATGGTTTTGAATTTGGCTATGTTTATCATCAACATTATTGCCAGGTGGCAGAATTAGTGCACGCACACACAGACACACAGCGTCACTGCCAAATGATGAATGGCAGCTGCTCTGCCCACATATTCACATGGCCTGGAGCTTTTAAACATGGTCTTGCTACAACAAATGGTCAACATTATTCCAGTCTAAACATAGTGTATTCTATGAGCGGAAACATAGAGTGGAAACACACTCAATATCATCCTCATGCACATATAGTTCCAACAGCTGATAATCACCTTCGTGCTGTTTCAGGGAATCTCCTGTTTTAAGACTGAAGTTGTAAGGCCGCAACACACCCCACCCGCATCTCACACTGCAGGCAGAGACAGCAAGATTCACTGAGTGTTAATGGCCAAGGGACAGGGATGCTGTGGGCGTTCTGACCCTTTGGGTTCAGATTTTGATATGTTGTACACTTTATATTTATTTGATTGACCCACTGCACTCCGCTGCTTTCTTGGTCTTTGCTGGTTAACTTGGTCTCTGCCTGCGGTTTGTCCACCTTTCTTTTGAGTGTTGGATTTCTGTGCTGTTGCTGCCTTCTTAGCAATCATTGCTGTCATGACCTTTTCCAGCATTTCCCATGCATGTGTAAAGGCTTACTGGTACAACAGGCTCCTGTAATGGCTGACTGATATAATGAGGGTCATCTGCATATGTACACACCAATGGCTATCATTGGCGTTGGGAATACATATTCTATTTGAATTCAGCTGTGGGTCTGAGAAATCACAAAAAGCCAGAAGAACTATGGTAAAGAATCATTAATGCTGTAATAATTGGAGAGGAGGGAGCTTTTCCAATGAAAAGCTTTGTATACTATCAGGAAAATACTAGGTGAGCTCCACAAACTGCTCTTCATCTCGCTGGGTACAAAACCAAATTTATTTCCCATCGTACAGCTTTGCTGTGAAAACCAATCCCTTTGGTACTTCTCACCTGTGCTGCAGTGGCACAATGATAGTTTGAGTTCTGATGGACAGTCTGCAAATGCCTGATGATGTCCTTAGGTCCAATTGCCCAGCCAACCTACAATAAGCAGTTAGATTGAAAATCACAAAATCTTGTACCAGATAATAGTTAGAACTTTGAATTTTATACTTATAATGAAGTGCAAACTGAACAAATTGATTCTTGCAGGGAATTTTTTCTATTATAATCAGCGCATTTAACTCCTAAAACGCACAACTACAAATTAACACAAAATCACAAGCTTAAGTGCTGTTCTGAAGAGGGTCATACAGGATTTGAAATGTTAATTCTGTTTCTCTCTCCACAGATGCAGTCTGATCTGGTGAGATGTCTTGAGCCACTCTGTTTTTTACTGATAGCTTAAACTCTGGTATCAGCTATAATGCACTGAGAAAACTGTACTGTTGCTATTACAGAGACTTGGTTAAGGGAGGGACAGGATTGGCAGCTTAACATTCCAGGATACAGATCTTTCAGGCAGGATAGAGGGGGATGTAAAAGGGATGGGGGAGGTGCGCTACCTGTTAAGGAGAATATCACAGCTGTATTGCGGGAGGACACCTCAGATGGAGTAGAGCTCAGGAACAGGAAGGGTGCAATCACAATGTTTGGGGTTTACTATAGGCCTGCCAACAGCCAGCGGGAGACAGAAGAACAGATATGTAGGCAGATTTTGGCAAGATGAAAAAGTAACAGGGTTATTGTGGTGGGTGATTTTAACTTCCCATATATTGATTGGGACTCACTTAGTGCTTGGGGTGCAGATAGGGCAGAGTTTGTAAGGAACATCCAGGAGGGTTTCTTGAAACAGTATGCAGATAGGAAAGGGGTCATATGGACCTAGTATTGGGGAATGAGCCTGGCCAGGTGGTCGACGTCTCAATAGGGGAGCAGCTCAGGAACAGTGATCACAATTCAATAAGCTTTAAGGTACTGATGGATAAAGATAAGTGTAGTTGTCAGGTGGAAGTGCTAAATTGGGGGAAGCTAATTACAACAATATTAAGCAGAAACTGAAGAATATAGATTGCAGGCAGATGTTTGAGGGTCACATCTGGTATGTGAGAGGCTTTCAAGTGTACGTTGCTGGGAACTCAGGACCGGCACGTTCCTGTAAGGTTGAAGGATAAGTGTGGCAAATTTAGGGAACCTTGGATAACGAGAGATATTGTGAGCCTAATTAAAAAGAAAAAGAAAGCAGTTATCAAGGCCAGGAGGATTGGAACATATGAAGCAAGGGTGGAATACAAGGAAAGTCAAAAGAAACTTAAGCAAGGAGTCAGGAGAGCTAAAAGGAGTCATGAAAAGTCATTGGCCAACAGGATTAAGGAAAATCCCAAGGCTTTTTATACATATATAAAGAGCAAGAGGGTAGCCAGGTGAGAAGGTTGGCCCACTCAAGGACAGAGAAGGGAATTTATGTGTGGAGCCAGAGGAAATGGCCGAGGTATTAAATCAGTATTCACCAGAGAGAAGAACTTGGTGGATGGTGAGTCTGGGGAAGGGTGTGTTGATAGTTTGGGTCATATTGAGATCAAAAGGGAGGAGACATTAGGGGGTCTTGAAAAACATTAAGGTAGACAAGTCTCCAGGGCCTGATGAGGTATACCCCAGAATACTGAGACAGGCAAGGGAGGAAATTGCTGGGGCCTTGAGGGAAATCTTTGTATCCTCACTGGCTACAGGGGATTGGAGAATAGCCAGTGTTGTTCCTTTGTTTAAGAAGGGTGGCAAGGATAATCCAGCTAATTACAGGCCGGTGAGCCTTACGTCAGTGGTAGGGAAATTATGGGAAAGGATTCTTCAAGACAGGATTTACTCCCACTTGGAAATAAGTGGGCATATTAGCGAGAGGCAGCATGGTTTTGTGAAGCGGAGGTCTGTCTCACTAACTTGGTTGAGTTTTTTGAGGAAGTGACGAAGATGATCGATGAGGGTAGGGCAGTGATATGTTGTCTACATAGACTTCAGTAAGGCCTTTGACAAGGTCCCTCATGGCAGGCTGTACAGAAGGTAAAGTCACACAGGCTCCTACAAGATTGATAAAAAAAAACTGGTTCGGCCATAAAAGGCAGAGGGTAGCAGTGGAAAGGTGCGTTTCTGAATGGAGGGCTGTGAGTAGTGGCGTTCCCCTGGGATCAGTGTTGGAACCTTTGCTATTTGTAATATATATAAATGACTTGGAGGAAAATTTGACTGGTCTGATTAGTAAGTTTGCCAATGACACAAAGGTTGGTGGAATTGGGATAGTGATGAGAACCGTCAAAGGATATAGCTGAATATAGATTGGTTGGTGACTTGGGCAGAGAGATGGCAGATGGAGTTTAATCCGGAAAGATGTGAGATGGTGCATTTTGGAAGGTCTAATCCAGATGGAAAATATACAGTAAACGGCAGAGCCCTTAAGAGTGCTGATAGGCAGAGGGATCTGGGTGTACAGGTACACAGGCCACTGAAAGTGGCAACGCAGGTGGAGAATGTCGTCAACACGGCATATGGCATATTTGCCTTCATCGGCCGGTGCAGTGAGTTTAAAAATTGGCAGGTAATATTGCAGCTTTATAGAACCTTAATTAGAAAAAACGAAAGAACTGCAGATGCTGTAAATCAGGAACAAAAACAAAGTTGCTGATAAAGCTCAGCAGGTCTGGCAGCATCTGTGAAGGAAAAAACAGAGTTAACGTTTCAGGTCTGGTGACCCTTCCTCAGAACTGATGGTGGCTGGGAAAATGTCAGTTTATTTGCAGAAAAAAGGGGAGGGGGATATAGCAGGGAGTAAATGATAGGATACAGCCTAAAGACAGAGAAGAGCAGTTGGACAGACAAAGAGTTGATAATGATCAGGCTGGGAGGGTGAATAGTTGTTATGGGGTCTATTAGGGACTAATAACAGGTAGTGTGTAATGACAGGCTATGTGGTAACAAGGCCTGATGTGTAGGGTAGGGGGCTGGGACATGGGAGAGTTTAGGCCCTAAAATTATTGAACTCAATCTTCAGTCTGGAGGGCTGCAAAGTCCCCAAGCGGAAAATAAGGTGTTGTTCTTCTAGCTTGCGTTGAGCTTCGCTAGAACACTGCAGCAAGCCAGACACAGACATATTGGTCAGGGAACAGGGTGGGGCACTAAAGTGGCAGGCAACGGGTAGTTCAGGGTCCTTTTTGCGAGCAGAACGTAGATGTTCTGTGAAGCAGTCACCTAGTCTTACGCTTCATTTCCCCAATGTAGAGGAGACCACATTGTGGTCACCTTAATTAGGCCGCATTTGGAATATTGCGTTCAATTCTGGTCACCAGACGACCAGAAGGATGTGGTGGCTTTGGAGAGGATACAGAAAAAATTTACCAGGATATTGCCTGGCACGGAGGGCATTAGCTACGAGGAGAGGTTGGAGAAACTTGGGTTGTTCTCACTGGAATGTCGGTGGTTGAGGGGCGACCTGATAGAGGTCCACAAGATTATGAAGGGCATGGACAGAGTGGACAGTCAGAAGCTTTTTCCCAAGGTGGAAGAGTCAGTTATAGGGGCCATAGGTTTAAGGTGCGAGGGGCAAGTTTTAAAGGTAATGTACAAGGCAAGATTTTTACACAGAGTGTGGTCAATGCCTGGAACCCGCTGCCGGGAGAGGTAGTGGAAGCAAATACAATAGTGACTTTTAAAGGGCAGCTTGACAAATACATGAATAGAATGGGAATAGAGGGATACGGTCCCCAGAAGAGTAGGGGGTTTTAGTTGTGACGGGCAACAAGTCGATGCAGGCTTGGAGGGCCGAAGGGCCTGGTCCTGTGCTGTAATTTTCTTTGTTCTTTTCTTTGTTAAAACCAGTTACTGAGTATCTGGGTGTAACATCACAACAACTGTCAAAGTGCCAGGCATTGAAATTAACTTTGCGTCAACTCACATCTGTGGTTTCCAATGACCGTGGCTAAGCTGCAGTGCAGTGCATTGAATAACATGACTCAATATGTTAGGACTGAGGATCAACTTCACCATTCCATCACACTGCAGCTGGTCCCAAATCCTGCTGCAGCTCCAGTTCAACAGATAAGGGTTAAATCAGTTCAGCCATTGTAATCAAAAGCATTAGAAGAGTTTTCAATTGGTCATAAATCCCAAATCATACTATATATTTATACAGCTATACCTTATTTTCCGTCTAGAATTTACTACTGCTTATGTAGGGATTCAAGATTTTATCTGTTGTCAGCAGACAGCCCACTATTATGTCCAATACAACTGAAGATTACTATAATGGATGAGAGTCAAAGTTAGCCAAATTTTCTGACAACTTTCTCCACTCACCTTCCACCCTGTAGCACTAAAGGTTTTTCCTGCACTTCCAACAGTGATTGTTCGCTCCCACATCCCTGGCAGGCTAGCTAGGAATAGGAACACATGATCAGTAAGTCATTAGTGGGGATGTCTGAGAGATGGGGAGCAGAAGAGAAATACTACAGGAGTAAATTTTGAAAATCCCCACATACTGGTGTGGAGCATGATTAGAAGGGTATGTAGAAAGCTACAGCTATAACTGCGTAGTTCTCATTTCCCAAATCGTGGTTGCTGATTAGGGTTCCATGCTCAAAGTTAAACCTCAAGAAGTACAAGCCAAGCAAATATATATGTTACTATTCATCTGTAAGAGTAATAATTGATTAAACTACAATATAAGTTAGCTATTTATTTACTATCTAAATTATTTTTCATCAGTCCACACATTTCCTTCAAATAAAAGGTGTCACTAAGGGTACATACATTAGTTGTGGCAATGCATTCCTTATTGTCAGACATGTGAAATATTGTGTGTCTTGGACCTAGTCAGACCCACTCCATCACTTCATTTTGTGATACGTTAATGATGAATTTCCTTCTCTTGCTCTAAATGGAAATTTTCATTAACCTTGCATTCAATTGCCAGTTGTTTCTAACCTTCAGGTAGGTGGTCCATCTCTATCTCTTCCCTTCCTGCAATTCTCTGACTCGATTAGGTAATGCACCAATACTCCGTACAAGCTCACAAACATTACAGCTTCTTAGACTGCTTTTCCTACCACCCTGTTTCTTCTAAGATCTCAATTCCAAACTCCAAGCTTCCCTGTTCCTATCACATCTGTTCTGAAGACACATTTTCCTTTGCTGTGTTTCTAATAGGTCCTCCTTTCATCTGAAGAAAGGACTCCCACCCCAAATAATCCCTGTGGATGTGCGTGATAGGACCCTTCACTGGGTCCATCTTATATGCTGCACTTTTGCTCTCATCTCTTCCCCTCCCTCTCTGAACACTAATTGAGTTCCTCTTGCCCTCACCTTCCATCCATAAGACCATAAGGCATAGGAGCAGTCAACCGATGTTTGCTCTGCCATTCACTGAGATCATTGCTGATCTGAGTATCCTCACTCCACTTTCCTGCCTTCCCGCTCCCCCCGATAACCCTTAATTCCCTTACCAATTAGAATACTTTCTATCTCAGCCTTGAACTAATTAACGACCTAACTTTTACAGAACTCAGCAGTAAGTAATTCCACAGATTCAGTACAATTGGAGAGAAGAAATTCCTCCTCACCTCATCCCACCACACCACTGAATTCAACAGATCATACTCTTCTGCTTCCATCATCTCCAGTATGATGCTGCCAACCACATCTTACCCTCTCCTCCCATATCATCTTTCCAAAGGGACCATTCCCTCTGTGAAACCCTGATCCATGTCTCGGTCATTTCAACTAGGGCTTTTCACAGTATCTTTCCATGCAAGTCAGAGAAATGCAACACTTGCCTTTTCACCTTGTGTCTCCTCACCATCCAAGACCCCAAATACTTCTTGCACGTGAAACACAAGTTGATGGACTTCTTAAAAATATAGTCTACTTATTCAGTCCTCACAATTTGATTTACCCTACTTTGAGGATATTAAATGCAAATTAGGTGACTGTTTTAAGACCAGCTCTGATCAATTCCTAAGTGTAGCCCTCCACTTCAGGCCACCTGTTATGTTAATTCTCTGCCTTAATTTGTTGCTAAAATCAAGTTCTGCCATTCTAGAATTATTCATATTCATGTGTTTGACTAAGAACACACAGATGACGCTTTCTTACCAATCCGCACATGCCTGTTTGCATCATATACCAGCCACTCATACACCTCATCACTAATGCACAAGACATTGTGCTTCAGACACAGATCTGCGATCATCTGCAACTCTTCATGGTTGAAAACCTAAGAGGTAAAACAAAGAGAAATTGTTAAGTAATAACTTTGAAGTTGATGGAAACCAACCTAAACTTCCTTCTTTCTTTGTGCTATATCTGGCTAGATCAATTTTTCTTTCATCTTTCTTGTCACTTCCTTTTCCAGTCAGGTCACAGAAATGACTCCATTCCTGTCAGCTCATTAGACAGGAATGTCAGTTACAAGCCAGAATATTTGTTTCCACTCTCTGGGCTAAAGTAGACAGGACGGTTCAGCCATCCACAAACAATAGATGTCTTATCAAACACAATCTGCAGCCTTCATTTTCGTTTGAGATTTGTTTTTGAGTATTGTATTTTGTGACAAAGACATACAAAATAAGTACACCATGTCACTGACTATTAAAAATAATTTGCATTTGGAGTAAATCTCATCATACTTCAAGAACATCCCAAAGCACTTTCCATAAAATGCATTAATTCTTGTTGAGATGCTTTGTGTTATGTCCAATTTAAAGACTCTGTTCCATAAAATACTTAGTTCACCACTGTAGGCAGTAGTCTAAAGGTTGTTACCTTTAACCAGTTTTGTAAGAATTGTCGGTAGATTGCAAATACTCAACCTGCCTGAAGAATTGTTTTAGATCGAGTGTCTCAACATTTCCTGCAGATGGCTTTGTGAACTGGATGGGAATTTTGATAGAGAAATCATTTTCTGGGAGGGGCAGGTGGTCCAATGCAGCCAGAAGAAACAGATAAGCGTGGTAGGCTGGCAGGAACTCATATGGTCCTCCTGGTCTGCAAGCAGAGTTGCAAAGGCATTTACCTCTTCCACATAGCAGGCTTCACTGCCCTTTAGCTGTCAGTCCACTGGGAATCTTAGAATCATAAAACTTTACAGCACAAAAGGAAGTCATTCATTTAATGTATCTGTGTCAGATCTTTGAAAGACCTGTCCAGTTTAGGTCACATTCTATGATACTGTAAATTAAAACTCTTAAATATCAGTATTAAGTTTTCCCTTAATCTCATCTGCTCTAAGAACTTACCAATTTTCTCCATTCTCTCTACATAACTAAAATCTCTCATCATTGGCATCATCCTGGTAATGTCCCCAGTTTTCTTTCCAAGACCTTGATATTCTTCTTGAAGACCAGTACTGAGAACTGTACACACTATTCCAGCTGAAGCACAATCTGAAAGGTTAGCATAACTGTTTTGTTTTTGTATTTACTGTCCAACTTACATAGCCAAGTACCATAAGCTTTATCAATCACAACGTCAGAAGTCACACAACACAAGGTAATAGTCCAATAGGTTTATTTGAAATCACAAGCTTTCGGAGTACTGCTCCTTCCTGACAAAACAGCAGCACTCTGAAAGCTTGTGACTTCTAATAAACCTGTTGCATTATAGCCGGTGTCGTGTGGCTTCTGACTTTGTCCACTCTAATCCAATTCTGGCACCTCCACATTATATTTAATAATCACCTCATCAGCTGCCACCTTCAAGGATTTATGTATACACACCATTTGATCCCTCTACTCTTTCTTTTAATATTTACTCATGGGACATGGACATCACTGGCTGGCCAGCATTTCATTGTCTGTCCCTTGTTGCTTTTGAAGAGGTAGCGAGGTGCTGGCTTCTTGAAGTACTGCAATCCACATGCTGTAGGTTGACCCACAATGCCCTTATGGCGGGAATTCCAGGATTTTGACCCAGCGACACTGAAGGAACAGTGATATATATACACAAGTCAGAATGGTGTGTGTCTTGGAGGAGAACTTGCAGATGGTAGTATTCCCATGTATCTGCTGCCCTTTCAAAGGACAAAGTGGTCATGGGTTTGGAAGGTGCTGTCTAGGGTCTTTGGTGAATTTCTGCATTGCATCTTGTACATAGTACACACTGCTGCTTAGTGTCGGTGATGGAGGGAGAGGCAGCTTGTAGAGGTGATGCCAATCAAGCAGGCTGCTTTGTTTTGGATTGTGTCAAACTTCTTGAATGTTGCTGGAGCTGCAACTATCCAGGCAAGGGGGAGTATTCCACTACACTCCTGACTTGTGCTTTGTCAATGGTTGACAGACTTTGCGGAGTGAGGCGGTGAAATATTCTTGTAGCCACTGTGCTTATGTGACAAGTCCAGTTTCTAGTCAATGGTAAACCCCAAGAATGCTGATAGTGGGGGATTCAGTGGTGGTAACACTACTGAATGTCAAGGGGCGATAATTAGATTGTCTCTTATTGGAGATGGTCATTGCCTGGCATGTGTGGCACAAATGTTACTTGCCACTTGTCAGCCCAAGCTGGATTTTGCTGAGATCTTATTGCATTTGAACATGGACTGCTTAAGTATTGGATGAGTCGTGAATGGTGCTGAACACTGTACAATCATTGGTGAACATCCCCACTTCTGACCTTATGATGGAGGGAAGGTCATTGATGAAGCAGCTGAAAATGGTTGGGCCTAGGACACTACCCTGTCCGGGGAGATGCCCTGGAGCTGAGATGACCTACTTACAACAACCACAACCATCTTCCTATGTACCAGGTATCAGTCCAACTAGTGAGAGTTGCCCTCTGATACTCATTGATTACAGTTTTTCCAGAGTTCCTTGATGCCACATTCAGTTGAAAGCAGCCTTCATGTTGGGGTCTGCCACCCTCACCTCACCTCTGGAATTTATCTCTTTTGTCCATGTTTCAACCAAGGCTGTAATGAGGTCAGCAGCTGAGTGGCCCTGGCAGAACCCAAACTGGGCATCACTGAGCAGGTTATTGCTGAGCAGGTGCTGCTTGATAGCACTATTGCTGACACACTTTACTGATGATCAACAGTAGACTAAGGGGGCAGTAATTGGCTGGGTTGGGTTTGTCCTGCTTTTTGTGTACAGGACATAACTTGGTGATTTTCCACATTGTTGAGTGGATGTCAGTGTTGTAACTGTACTTGCAATCCTCTCCCCTCAGCATAATACCATTTGGGTTATACTGCCTCTGGATGTTGCTTCTCTCAAAGTTTATCACTTCACATTCATTCCCATTAAATCTGCTTCTGCCAGTGTCTGCTCCTTTCACCCATCTATGCCATGAGGTCTGCTGTTATTTACAGTGTTGCTAAATTTGTATCATTGGTCATCTTCAAAATTGTATCACCGTGTGCCTAAGGCCATATCATCTCCATATAACGAGCAAAGCAATAAACCTAACAGTCCTAATAATGAAGAACCTCCATTAATTAGTTCTCTCCAGAGAGATAATTGGATAGCATTATTTTCTTCACCTTTCTCTCTTTCTTTCAATTGCTGTCGTAGTATAGCAGCAACTGTCTTTTTACATTCAGGTGATTAAGCTAGGCAACTGTGTCAGAAGTTGTTGTGATGCCTTCTTTGTATTTTTGAATCAGGCACTGAGTTGTCATGAGTTTCATATTCTATCCTGGGTAACTACTGTGATGCACCCTGCAGAACTTACAATTTTCTATCAAGTATCAACACATCAGCAATGGTTTGCAAAAAATGCAGTATTTCGTTGCTCATTGGCTTCAGAGAAAATCAAAATCAAAGGAACGATGTGAAAAAAATTCATTCAAATGTTCTAATAATACCTGTAGGTGGTGCTATGATAAAGGTTTTGTTACTAACTGCCACACTAAAACCCAGCTGCTAACAAGACATTAATACTGAGAGTTTATGATTTGGGTTTTCCTTCGAAAAACCAGTTATTTAATTAACTTAAAAATACTAAACAGAATAAAATGGGGTGGTAAGTGAAATAACTATCCTGTCACCAAGTCACTCTTTACTTGTGCATAGTACTTGACACTTGTTTGACTTCCTCAGAGCCAGCTCTCAAGAGTGAACAGCATGTCTGACACGACTGTTAATGCCTGTCAGCCAGAGCTCCCTGGTTAACAGCCCCAATCAGGGAACTCGTATTCTATGAGGTGCATTTGGCTGACCTCGTAATAATCACTACATCCCTCCTTGTCTAAGTCCGGGGACATAGGCCTGTTCTTTTTCTTATAGCCTCTCTTGGGGCTTTTTCGCACTGGGTCCAGGTCCTCTGACTCAGCCTCAAATTCAGGCTGCATATACCCAACCGTAGCCCGCCCCTTGCTCCCAGAGTGTTTCGGAAGAAATTCATCCTCTTTTTCAGACGGTAAAGGTCTTGCGGCTGCAATATCTGCCATGTTCATCTCAGACTCTGAGGTTTCTTTGATGCTAGATGGAGGGAGAAAACCCATGGGCTCCTACAGCCTTTCTGACTGTTCTGAAGAGCCAGGTATGTTTTGCTTACCCATGCAGGGCCATTTCTCTGGTTTTGATGCCAAATTTCATCCCCTGAAGAAAACTGTCTCTTTTGCTTCGGGGAGTCCTGCATCCAGCACTGGTGTTCCTGATGCCGTTTCAGTCACTCCCATTCCCTTTCCTCCCCTTCCCCAGATACAGTTTGGTATTGAGTGATAGTGTAGGCTGTTTCTTTAAGCCTGCCTTCAAAGTTCGGAGACAAAACATTGGACAATGGATAGTATGGACCTGTCCTTCTATGCTGACTGCCATTTGACTTGATGAAATACTCAAATTCCCGTAAATGATGGCCCATTATCTGTGACCAACACTTCTGGGAGCTGGTGTATTGCAAAAATTAACACAGCTTTTCTATCATTTTCCCTGTGTTTGACAAATGAACTCTATGCACGTCCAACCACTTTGAATGAGGGTCCAAGATAACTAAGAACATTGAGCCCATGAAAGGGTCGGCACAGTCGATGTGTAAACGAGTCCAAAGTTTATCCGGCAATTCCCACGAATGTGGGGGAGCTGCTAGCAGTAATCTTTGTCCTTGTTGGTACTCTCGGCACTGCCCCATCAACACGACTATGTCTGCATCCAATCCTGGCCAGCAGACATGACTTCTTGCGCGACATCTTCAGTTTGGACACTCCTGCATGACCATGGTGGAGTTCAGCCAATATCTGGTATTGATCTTTGCTTGGGACAATCGCTCTTGGTCCCCACAATAAAATGTCATCCTCCACGGTGATCTGGTCGGGTCCAGAAAGGTTTCATTCTGGTTGTGATGGCCCTTTTGATCCCCCCATCAGCACCAGCTGTTTTAGTTTTGCCAGACTGGATCTTTTTGCATCCAGAGTCTGATATTGTCAGCAGTAACCAGAAGGGTGTCCAGAAAGTTTAAATAAACACACTCTTCCAGTGATGGCAGCACTAGTGGTGTATCTGCTGGTGGGACGCAGCTCAAGGCATCCACATTTCCTACTTGGCATCCTGGATGGTGTTCCAACTTGTATTTATAAGCACTCAGAATGAGAACCCACTGCTGAATTTGACCTGAATCTATGGGTGGCACAGCCTTGTCCTCTTTGAGTTGCCCTAGCGGGGCTTTGTGGTCTATTACTATTAGAAATTTACATACATAAAGGGGTATTGGTGAAACTTTCTCACACCAAAGATGACCGCCAAACCTTCCTTCTCTGAGTACATTTGTATTCTGCATCAGCCAGAATCTGAGAAACATACGTTTTTGGGGGTTCTCTCCATTGGGCCATCCGTGAGCCAAGAATACCCCAATATCGTACAGGAGAGGCATCATATGTCAGCACCAGATCTCACTTGAGATCATAGTGTGCCAACACTTTAGATGATGATAGGTGCTTCTTCCCTTCCCGATAGGCTATATCTTGGCTGTGTGACCATTTCGAAGGTTGACCCTTTTTCAATAGCAGATGTATGGGTATCAGATTGGAAGCTAGGTTACATATGAACTTTCCATAGTAATTCACAATCCAAGGAAAGACCTAAGTCCAGTACAGACATGGGAGCTGGGGCACCTTTCATCGCCCTCACTTTATCTTCCAATGGGTGTAACCTGGCCTTGTCAATGTAGCCCAAGTAGGTTATTTGGGGTGCTTGGAAAATACATTTTTCTCTCTAAGACGTACATCCACCTGGAACATTTAAGGACTACGCCCATGTTCCTGAAGTGCTCTTTATTAGCCTTCCTTGTTATTAGAACATCATCCAGCTAAATTGCAATCTGGGGTAGACCTTGTAAAATGTTCTCCATTGTCCGCTGAGAAATTCCTCTGGCTAATGATATCCCAAATGGCAGTGTCGTCTATTGGGACAAACTCTTATGAATATTAATTATAGCATACTTCTATGAATCCTCATCTAACCGCAGGCACATAGGGCTCATGGCTAGCTTCGTGAAGGACAGACTCCCACCAGCTTTGCGTGTAAGCCCTCTATACAAGAGATTGGGTATTTATGCAGCTGCAAGAAGCTGGTTACTGTGTGTTTAAAATCCCCACAAAGGTGAACCAAGCCATTGGGCTTCACAATTGGTATAATCGGTGCAGCCCATTCTGCAAACTGTACTGGTTTGATGATTCCTTCGCTTTCCAGCCTCCTAATTTCTGAATCTACTTTTGGCCATAATGCAATTGGCACTGGGTGGACCTTGCAGAATCATGGAATTGCTTCCAGGTCAACATGCAAGGTGGCCTTGGTTCCTTTGATAGTCCTTAGACCTTCCTGAAAAACTTCTGGGTATTTAATTAGGACTTCATTCAGGTAGCCATTTTCTAATTGAAAAATGTTAAGCCAATCAAGGTGAATCTTTCTCAACCAGTTTCTCCCTCTCAGGCTTGGGTTCGAACCTTTCACTGCAATCAGTGGTAACTGAACTAGCTGCTTCTCATATGAGACCAGAACCGAAGTTGTACCCTTAATCTGTAAAAGTTCCCTGTTTAGCTCATCTCTTACATAAACATAAGGCTTGGAGTCCAGAGTGAATTTTGTGAAAGACTGGTTCTGCAACCACTGGTACAGCCGTCCAGGTATGAACCTCGATTAGAACAGGGTGATCATATAACCAAATGTTTATTTTGATTTTTTTCTGTTAGATGTTGGTAAGCAATTTAACTGTTCAAAGCCAGATGTAGGTGGCCTTTCCATGGTGTGCACTCACCTGGATACCAGTCTATGCGTTATCTTACTGAATTCAGGCCTAGTGGGCCTTTTTTGCTGTCTTGAGTCCGCATACCCTCAGTAACTACAATGGCTTCCCAAATAACAGCATGATGCCAGAAATGCTTACCCCAACTCAAAGATGACTGCTGTGAGCAAAATTCTTCAGGAGTGCATTTTTTTCTCACTGAATGAACTCCACAGAGACCCCTATCAAGTCACCTAGTCACCCTTTATTTACATATGCATAGTACTTGACACTGGTCCAGCTTCCTCAGAGCCAGCTCTCAGAGTCAACGAAACCTCTGGCACTCCTGTTTGTATCTGTCAACCAGGGCTCCGTGATTGGAACCAGGTTAACAGCCCCAATCAAGGACCTGATATTCTATGAGATCCATCTAGCTGACCTCACTGTAATTACCACAGTAAGCCTGCCACTGCAAATCTTCTCCAGAATGTTGTTCCCCAAATCTATAATTCTCCTTGCAAGTCCAATAACAGTGTATCCTGCCTACTGAAAGTAGAATTAGCTAAGCTTGGTTAACCCTCTGGCTACTTTCCCCCCAAAATCCAAGTCAAGCCTGACCCCAAGTAAAAGTGACACTATATTATTGGTAGTGCTCCTGATATAAATACTGCAATGAAGAGGACATTTTATCTGCTGACAGTAGAGGTTAATTGTTCTTTATCTATAAATTGATTTCAGCCTGTTTACACTCTGGAGGTTTTGCAAACATGTTTTGTGCCATATTTAGTCAATTTGGCAAAAATGACAATTTTAATCTGTGACTGTGGACTTCTCACTGGGAATCCCTCCATTTTAATGCTTTGAAGAGCAATAAGGTCAATAAGAGGGAGCTAAATTGAGAAATAAAAACAGAAATTGCTGGAAAAACACAGTTCTGCCAGCATCTGTGAAGAGAAAGCAGAGTTAATGGTTCAGACCCAGTAACCCTTCTTCAGAACAGCCAAATTGAGACACTGCAGAGGATGTTTGTTTCTACGCATGTGTACTATATATCCACTCAACAGAGTTGGCAGACCAAGAAAGTCTTACTCAGTTATCTATATGGTACCGCTTCAGGAGAGAGCACTTCCCAAGCAGGCAATGGGGAAGATGTGTTAATTGCTTTTTGAAGCCCCCATCCAGCAGAATAATAACAATGTCTGTTTCTAGAAATATCACAATTGCATGAGGTTGTTGACTTGCTCATCGAGCTGGCTTGTTTTTGTTCAGAAGTTTTGTCACCATGCTAGGCGACATCATCAGTGGGGCCTCCAATGAAGCAATGTTATTCTTCCTTTCTGTCTGTCCGATGTAATGTTTGCGGCAGTCTTTGTATGGTATCTTGTAAATCACGCTGGTTCTGTATGTTGGTGGGAATGGGGTCTTTAATCCTTGTGAGTGCTTGTCATAGAGTGGCTGTGGGCTTGTGTGCTACCATGATTCCTAGTGGTCTTAGGAATCTTCTTGTCAGTTCCGATATGTTCTTGATGTAGGGCAGTGTGGCCAGTGTTTTAGGGGGTACTGTGTCCTCCTACTGTGTACAGGAAGGAAACTAGCCATCACAATACATGAACATCAGCTAGCAGCAAAAAGGCACAACAAACTCTCCTTAATATCGGTACACACAGACAGTGAAGGCCATCAGTTTAACTGGGACAAGGTAACCATTATAGCACGAGCCAAACATAGACACGCATGAAAATTTCTAGAGGATTGGTTCTCCACCTGTAATGCAATCAACAAACATATAGAATTGGACCCCATATACAAACCCATACAGATCAAAACTGGAAATGACACTACTCACCATGACGGATCAGACAGTATAAATTCCAAGTGGAGTAGAATAACATTGCGTCATTGGAGGTTCCACTGATGATGTTGCCTAGCATAGTGATGAAACATCTGAGCAAAAACAAGCCAGCTCGGCAAGCAAGTCAACAACCTCACCCACAACCCGAGCTACAGACCTTCGCCGAAACTTTAATCACAATTGCATTTTTGCAACCGGATCCTTCTCAGCAGCATCGGGTAAAATTTGCCATATTTCTTAGGGAACAACCTAATCTCTCCTCCTACACAGTTCCTGCATTCAGTTCTGGGGAAGGGTCACCAGACCCGAAATGTTAACTCTGTTTTTTCCTTCACAGATGCTGCCAGACCTGCTGTGCTTTTCCAGCAACTTTGTTTTTGTTCCTGATTTACAGCATCCGCAGTTCTTTCGGTTTTTATTTAATCTCTCCTCCTCCCTGCTCTATTTCCCTCTCCTGCCTGCCTTGGTCAAGTCATCCATCAACCTTTAATCTTGCTCAATCAAAATCAGCACTAAGTATTGCCTGTGTGCAATTCCACAGAAGAACACCTGAGTTGTATATATTGCTGTTATGTTTAAAGACTATGTCATTGAACAAAATATTACCAGCAAATGAATCAAGCTTTCCAATTCAACACTTCTGTCAACTACCCTTCAAATGCATCTACTTCTGACATTGATCAAATGAAGAGAAAAATGCACGTGATATTTTGTTCCTAGGTATGCTGAAAGTGAAAAATTAAATGTAGTAGGTGTACTCCAAGATATGGAGTTGAATCAACAACACTAAACCTTAATTATTGGCAGTAGTCATAACACAGCCTACAACTGCACAAATACTCTTCACTCTTACCTTGCCAAGAGGGTTATTTGGAGTATTAATGACGATTGCTTTAGTACGCTTGTTAAACTTATTTGCTAGTTCAGCAGGATCCAATACCCAGTCAGCACTGGTCATCAACCTTCCAGATTCTGGTTTCTGAAAGAACATTAGGTAACCTTTTAACTTTGTAATCTGTGCAGAGTATTTATGTATAAGGCAGTCAACAGGAATCCATTCCTGAGCTGGCCCTTTTATCCAAGGAATCTAATACTTAACTTCTACCCCTCTTTTGGTGTTTAGTTTTGCTGCTTGAAAAAAGGTTCAGTTAGGTTAAGCAAAATAAGTGAGTGCATCTAAAGATAAAAGTCCTAAATTGACTTTCGGTTACTAAATTTATAATTAGCCAGTGAATAAGGAACAGGAACTGGCAATTCAGCCTCTCAAATCTACTCCACAGTTCAAGAAGATCATGGCTGAACTGATTGGAACTTCAAACCATATTCTTACTTACCCCCAATATCCTTTCACCCCCTTGCTTAATATGAATCCATCGAACTCTACCTTTAAAATATTCAAGGACTCAGCTTCCACCACCTTTTCAGGAAGACAGCTCCAAAGACTCAAGATTCTCAAAGAATTTTTCTTTTGCCTCTTCTCTGTTTTAAATGTGCAACCCCTGATTTTTAAATTATGACACCCAAGTTCTTGGTTCTCCTTTCATTGTCAAGGCCCCTCCAGATTTTAAATGTTTCAACCAAGTCACTCCTTACTCATCTAAACTCGAGAAGATACAAGTCTAGGCTGTCTAACCTTCACACTCCCTTCTAGAAAACCTTATTTGAACTGCAGTGCACTTACATGCTTCTTTGAATAAAGTGACCAATGCTGTGCACAATATTTCAGATTAGATCTCACCAGGCCCTGTACAACCGAAGCATAATCGCCTAACTTTTGTATTCAGTTCCCCTCACAATAAATAATATTATCCTTTCCTAATTACTTGCTGTACCTGCATATATGTCTTTTGCAATTCATACACTAGAACACCCAGATACGTCTGGGCGCACTTTTAATGCGAAGCCAGGAATTAAAACACAAATGAATACTCGGTGAAACCTGAGTTGTATTATCATTCTATGCATTAAATTAAAGAAGGTATAAGTTGCCAATAGTTTAATTTGGCTGTGGAGACTTACTGGATGCAGCGGGATGTATACAGGATGACCACCTGCCATTCGCGCCATTGACTCATAACAATCAAAGAACGGTTCAATGATAATGACCTGTATAGGAGTAGAGAAAATGGTTTCAATTATGGGTGGAAATCCTGACTGATTTCCCACTCCAGCCCTCATCTACCAACCAGACACTAATGGTAATGGTAGCAGACTACTCATAACCGCAATTAAAATGAGCTCATTTAACACAGATCAGAAACCATATTCTGTTCGTGTGGCAGAGGTACACTTCCAATGTAGCCACTGAGGTAGCAGACAGAGATAATTTTCAACAGAGGTTGATTGATATTCAATTTTGCACATTAGCAGTGGTGCTCTGTGGGAATGTTTCCTTTTTCTGCGGAGTCATTCAGCTCTACTTTTTCAGGTAGTTAATTGTAAGATAAATTGTATGAATTAACAGGCGGAACATAGTCATACATGATATAAAATAAACAAACAACAAATTGTAGGAAAGTAACTTTAGTGAATTCAAGTATTGCAAGAAAGTAATGAATTCTGTTCATTTATTATCTGAAATGTAAGATATTTTTCTGCTGATAAGCCAGGCCATATAGGGTATACTGAGGTTTGAAGTGAGGTGAGTTGTGCAACACCGTAACTCGCACCATATAGAAAGAACTTTTGGGCTTTTGTGGCACAGTAATACAGACCCTATCTTTGGGCCAGAACACCCAGGTTCAAATCCCATCTGCTTCAGAGGCATGTCATAATATGTTTGAATAGAGTGATTAAAAATTATCTATAGAAAAAAAGCTTCTTTGAAGAAAAGTCTTAAAACTGAGGAGATAACGAATCAAATGAGGGAATTAAAATGGGAGGTTTCAGCTGTATGTCCCCGAGTCCTCCAATCTATGATGTGTTTACATCTGTCAATTTTAGTAAAACAAAGGTTTGTTTACATTGTGAAATGAAACCAAATGAAAGAGACTTTATTGAATTGACAGAATGTAAAATCATCTTTTGCTTTCTCACAGTATCAGGTTCTGCAAGCTCCTTCAAGAATGAGTTCTCATGATGTTAATCGCATTAATTTGAAAGAAAAATTTTTGCTATTTAAAAGAAAAATGCATATAGATCACACAGTGTGCATTTTTATCCAGGAGTTCAAAAATATCAATTAAAGCTGCCTTCATTAAACTTGTGCACAGGTACTTAACTAAACTGGACTGAAGTACAATCCAAAAGTTAGAAAACTTTAATTTAAATGCTCCGACTGTCAGCTTAAAGATGATTCAACAGCAATCAAAATCTCTATAAAAGTTAATACTATCATTATCAGTACTCTGCTTCAATACAATGAATCTAACATTTCTGGGACATTACCAAATACCACGTACTTCATCTTCATCATCAATCAGTGCCTGGAAGAAACAGAATAGGGCCTCATATGCCCCAACTGTCACTAGAACTTCAGTGAATGGTTCAATGTCTTGTTCCAATAATTTCCCAAAGAACTTTGCTAGGATGTTCACTAATGGTGGGTGACCCTGGGAAGGGGTGGAAGAATTGAGAAAGAAAAAGAGAACCATGTGTGAGGACCGATGTAACACATTTTTACTGAATCTAATATGTAGAAGGTTTAATATCAGTTAATAAAAATAGGAAATGCTGGAGAGACTCAACAAGTCTAGTAGCATCTGTGCAGACAGAAACACAGTTAAAGTTTCAAGTCCAATTGGACTCAAAATTTTAAAGCTGTTTCTCTCTCCACAGAATTTGCTAAACCTGTTAAGTTTCTCCAGCATTATCTGTTTGTATTGCAAATCTCCAGCATCTGAAGTATTTTGCTTTTATTAACATAAGTTAAGTCAGGTGGTACGAGAAATGACCCATTAGTTTGCAAAAATATCTTTTTAGTCAGTAAAGCCTTATAAAATAGTTTAAAACTCTAATTTGTATAGCGTGATTAAAAATAAAACATACTTTAGGTATTCTTCTTGCACATAAAGGTCAATTTGTCAGTTGTGTAAGCGGAAGTCACAGTCAATTTTGTTTAGGATATGGGCAACAGAAACAAAAAACTGTATTGCTCATATCACCAGTTACCTTCTATTTTACAACTTGTTAAGTCACTTTAGAGGGATCAACCGCAGTGTACATTACAACTGGGTGACAGCTTCCCCTCCATGAAATTCATTAGTGAATTAGATAGGTTTTCCAGTAATCCATCTTCAATGGTCATTTATTCCTGATTGGGCTCCCAAGTGATCTATTTCACAACTGCTTGATATTCTTGATCTCCCGTTTACTAGCCCATTACCATAAACACTACTGTTTCTATTGTAACCATAACGCCTATACATTTTGACCAGTGGCTGTCATAATTGGTCACTTGTACTTATCCCCCTCAGGTGTCCTGTTACTTATGTCTGTGGGCATGAAATCACAAACCAGTAGTTCTGAAGCACTGCCAGAACTAGAATAGGAACAGAAAAGAAAAAAATAAAAACATAAAAATAAGCAGTTGTTACTGAAAGACCAATGAGGCTGTTTCTTAAGCATGCCATCCATGCAATAGTTATATCATGTTTCCAATGTAGAACAAAAATGTCGAGATTCCTCACAGAGGCGTAAAAGTAAAGGAGAGATTTGGAGCAGAAACCAAAAACTTAGTCAAGAGATGGTGTTCATTAAATGGCAAAGTGATTGTGCATGCACAGGTTCACAGTGCTAAGTCACTGAAATGCAACGGGGGTTGCCAGGAACCAAGATTGCACTGCCCATGTAACACAATGAGGGCTGATGCTGCTTGGAACAGACACCTGAGCAGTCAACCAGTGTAAGTATGGACTGCAGCCTGCAGATAGTTACAGAGACAGAGACACAGTGGGTGTCAATACAATTACAATGTCAGGGACACAACCAGTCAACCTGTGGCTGCATTTTAGAGAAAAATATTAAAAATTGTTTTGATTGTTTTGAAGCTGCCTTCAAAGCAGAAGAAGGTTACAGAAATGGGGACAGCTGAGACAGTGGAGGTAATTAAACATAGGAAAAAATACAGTTAGTGTGAAAAGATATGTTGGGAAACCTGTGCAAGATATAGAATAGGATATAATGAATCAAATACATGCATTTATGATTTGCTGACTGAAATTTTACATCACTTTTAAAATAAATAAGACACAGCTTTATTGATATATATTCATTGATCTGCAATAAATTAAGGTATCTACACTTTAATGACTTTGATCTCATACTCGGTGTTGTTATTAGGAAATCTACCCTGAGATACTTATAACAAGATAAAAAAGATTTCCTACCATTGAGCTGAATTTATGATTAGGACATTTATGTTGTATCATCACACCTGTATACTAAAAAGAGCCGTTCCATTTTGGGATCGGAGAAACAGTCATAGAGAACGGATCAGAAAAGAAAAAGAACGTCATCCAAAGAGATGCATGAGAAATGCGAATAGTCATTGACAAGGGAATTTTTAACCTGACCTGTTCTGTGGACAGAAGAGCTAGAACATGGGGCATGGCAACTGAAGGCACGGTCACCAAGGTGAAGCATTTAATATTGAATATGCACAAGACATCAAAATTAGAGCAGGGGAGTGCATTTGAATAGTCATGTTTAGAAGTAACAAATGCATGAACGTGGGTTTCAGCAACAGGTGAGCTGAGACAGAGACTGTGCCATGAAGGTAATAGGTAATCTTCGAGATAGCACAAATATGAGGTTGGAAGCTCATTTTGAGATTAAGTATGACACCAAGATTGCAAGCAGGTTAACTTAATCTAAGATTGCTGTCAGGTAGACGATTGGGGTCAGTAACTACAAGTTTAGAATTGAGACCAAAAACAATGGCTTCAGCCTTCCTAATAAAGAAATGAATGAAGTTTCTGTTCATCCAACATTCGATAATGGATAAGCAGTCTGATAATATTGCAACAATGGAGGAATCAAGAGACATGGCGGTGAAGTAGAACTGAATGTCATTAATGTACTGGTAAAAATGGCATGACTTCAGATGATGTTGCTGAAGACAGCATGTAACTAAGAAATAGGAGGGATAAAGGAATGATCCTTGATTAGTGCAGGGACAGCTAGAGAAGATTAGTTGAAACATTAGATTCTTTCCTCTTTAAAGATTTTTCTTTTAAACTTCATAGCCATCATTCCTATTGGTAATGACTCTTGTATGTATTGGCCACTTGCTGGCCATCCTTCAATTGTGAATCTCAACAGTCAATGGCAGTAATTTATAGATCTGCAAAGCTTAATTCTGATATGCAACTCAATCACACCTTCCATCGAAAGGACAGCAATCAGAAACAGGTGGTTTTTACATCTCATGTGCTCAAAGTTGCACAGGCCAATTGTAATTGTGCACTAGATATACTCAAAACAGATTGTGAATCTTCTCTACATTATCCAGCGCAGTGCCATTATTGATTGGACAAGTGGTGGGGTGTACTTTCTTCCAATTCAGCATTACCACCTTGTCTGTTGGAGTATTCATAGCCAGTAGCCATTTCAACATGTCGGGTATGAATGCTTATCAACAACAACTGAAAAAGTCTGCAGAACATTTTTAATCATCATTTGGCTCAATGAAAAAGTCAGAAGATTGTTAGAACTTACATTTAGGATTCCATAACCCTGCACATTTTGTTATCATAATGAACATTCAGCAGTGTTGACGACAAGTCATCTAGGAGGACAAACAGATGTCTTTTGGGAGTAGCCATTCAAGATCAAAATACACTAAAATTGTTCTTCAAAGTTAGTTCAATAACTGCAGTACACTGAATAACCCTTTGCTTTGATATATTACAAAAAGTAAATACTTACAAAAGCCCTGGTATACTGGTTGAAGTCACCATTTACTGCCCTCGTGAAAGCATCTTTTAAAAAATTTGGAGGGGAGAAGTCAGGAAATCCTTGCCCTAGGTTGACAACTGAATGATCAGCAGCAAGCTGTGTAAATTCGACCCTGGAAATATTGGAAATAAATACACATCAGAATTCTCTTTAGCTGCTTCCACATCTCTTTCTCTGATACAACACAACACATCTACCTTGCTCAGAGATAGTAAGAACTGCCGATGCTGGAGTCAGAAATAACACAGTGTGGGGCTGGAGGAACACAGCAGGCCAGGCAACATCAGAGGAGCAGGAAAGCTGACATTTCGGGTCCGGACCCTTCTTCAGAAAAGATTTTCTGAAGAAGGGTCCCGACCTGAAACATCAACTTTCCTGTTCCTCTGATGCTGCCTGGCCTGTTGTGTTCCTCCAGCTCCACACTGTGTTATTACAACTACCTTGCTATTTGGGGAGCAAGTCATTAGGTACTAGGCATCACTAGCAATTCTGCTTTGCAGCTAACTGCCAACAGGTTCAAGAGCGGTCGAAGTAAACACAATATCAGATTTTTCTCTGCTTTACAAAAATTGACAGAATCACTTCCTTTTGCATCTTGCCAAAGGCCAAGACAACTGCAGCATCCTCCGTGACACTTGAAACTTACTGGGGATATTTTCCAAACATCCTGTTCAGAGATGTTATAACATATCTCTGGAGCAGGTGGGATTTGAACCTGATCCTTCTAGTCCATAGGGACACTACCACTGTGCCACAACAGCCCTTGAAGTATACTGGGAGCTAAATTGGGTAATGATTGAAAACAGGTAGGATTAACCAGCATCCATTCAGTAGAAACACAGGCAGCATAGTATCACAGTGTTGGCTAATTGCAAAAATCAGTAAAGAGTCCAAAATTGATACATGTTAGCACTTCTTAAAGATATACTGCATTGTTTAAAGCCAGCCTGTTTCTCTAAAATCAGAGGTGCATTCTAGATGGAGCAGGTGCTGGGAATCTGGAAAGTAATGTGGGTGCAGTCAATGTAATACTGCAAAATGAAGAAAGCTGCAACCTGAGTAAACCAGGAGCTCATTCCACTTGTCTCTGATAAGAGAAAATGAAATTAACTCATTTTGAATAGACAGTCCCCTTAGAAACAACGAACAGCAAACTGTGAAGTTGTGCTAACATCTCCAGCACTAGCTTGGAAGAAGACATAGAAAAGTTTATTATTACCGGTGCCGTCACAGTCACAGGCCACTTGGCCTTTGCCTCTGTGGTTGCAGTCATGGCACCTTGGCAGACTTCAGAGAATACTACCCTGGAGAAATGCAGATGTCCATACTGCTTCTGGCTAAGGATCAGGTAGGAAAATTGCTACCTATGGACGCTGTGAGGAAAGGCCACTTCTTGAGAGCCCATCACCCTATTCTAGCAGCTTGTCCTGCTCCACATATCCTCTTTTCATTTTCCCAGTCATGCTCAATTTCAAGGGGCTTCCCTAATCATGTGGCCATGCCTGGAGGAACAGGTTTACATAAAAGCCTTGAAGTGACAAACGGTCGTCAGCTGTGAATGTTTGATGATCCCTTTAAATAGTGCTGGTAGGGATCCTCCCTGCTGTTCAATGCATGTTCAACATGCAAACTTAAGTGAGAGCATGCAGTAGACCATTGAGCTGCTTGCATCAGACCAGCATTGAATACTGACTGATGCCGCAATGTGGCATCCCTGTTCCTGCTGACAACATGTTTACCAGCATCTGTACAAAGAATCACTAAGGACACTTTGGCCAAAGAACAAGTACTGTAAGTCCACTTTCATGCAAATTAAGATTTTTCTTTTGTAAAACAAATTTGAAGCAACCGTAAAGTTATTTTAACCAAAACTGAGATGTGAAATTGTACGGGATTTCACAAATTCACCCTCACATTATAAATGCTCAGAGTACACAATGTGAAGAATCTTGCCATTGCCATGGCAAATTGTATTGAACCACAACTGATATCTAGCAATAGACAAGATTCCTCAATGCCTTTTTACAGTCAGTAAATCTCTCCTGTAATCAAGACATCAATTTACCAAATATTCTTGTCTAATCCTTCAATTCTCCGAGAATGTATCTGCCGGGACATGGTTACCTAAATAATGCAGATAACAGATTTTATTTACAATTGCCAAATTCAAGCACTTAAATAATGAACAACAACAAACTATAACAAATAAATGAAATTATGTCTTGTACACGATCAAGGCACGAATCAAAACAAAAGTCTGAACATTCCTGCATGAAGGAAACAAAATTTCACAAGGCAATGGGCTTCCTGTCCAAAGAACAAAATTCAAAAGTAATGAGGTAACGTTAAACTTCAACAAATCCTTAGTTAGATCACAGTTGGAGGTCTGTCTGTATTAAAAAAAAATGGATATAGGGGCGTTGGAAAAAAGTGCCTAAAAATCATACGGATTCAATAACTAAGATGTTATAACTATTAGGATAAATAAAACAAGCAGGGTTCTTTTCAGTATGACTGAGAGGTGAGTTTGATAGGGCTAATTTACAGATGTTTCCACTTGTAGCAAAGTTTAAAACTCGGGAACATAAATTTACTAATAAATCAAATAAGAAATGTAAATGATTTTTTTTAATGAAGAAGGATAGTGAGGATGTAGAACTTGCCACTAAGAAACAGCTCATGCATTTAAGAGAAAGCTAGTTAAGCACAAGGGAAAAATTAATAGGGTATTCTAATTGGCTGAAATGATGTCAAATGGGAGGAAGTTGGATCAGTGGTCAGAATGGCCTGTTCCTGTGATGCAAAATTTTATGTAACACATGGCAGAGCTGGTATTGTATTTGCTAGACTGTTGCAGAAGTCAGCAGATCTAGTCAGCAATCCACATATCAGTTGAAATTGATGATTACAAAGTACAGAATACCTGCTATAAAATGGATACATAAGAAATATGAAAACATTGCGCCAATCCTTATTGACCACAGGTACTTCTGAAGCTGCTGCTGTAACGTCAATGAACCTGGCAGTAAATTTGCACAAACACGCGCAATGATGAGACAAGTACGGTGGTTTCTGAGGAAGAGATTTTGATCAAGACATTGGCAAATCTCTCCACCTCTTTTCTGAAGAGGAATATAGGATCTCTGACATCCACTCAAATAGGCAGATGAAGTTCAGTTTAATGACTCATCCAAAAGTTGGCATTTCTTCACAATCAGTTCTCCCTCAGTTATACAATGAAGTGCCAGCTGGTTTATGTGTTCAGGTCAGGCAGAGGGGCCTAAACTAAAAACCTTCCTAGAAATGGAAGCATACTAACACTGAACCACGCTGGCACATACAAGTAATAAATAGACAGAACATCAGTGAATGAAAAATGAAGGTATAATGAAACAAAAAGCTGAAGAGAATGAACACTACATATTATATCATCAGTTGATATTGAATAACAAGAAGCGTTACTTAATGAAAAGAGGAATGAATGCAGCCTGTTGACAGATTTTTGGGCATCCAATGGGGAATAGTGCACACGTCAGTCCAAGATGTGACTTTAGACAGTTTTTCTACATTAAAGACACAATATAAATACAAGCTGTTGTTAATCTATGATTTTAACTTTACCCAAAAATACCTTGTACTTATTTATTTCAACACTTCTGCTGTATACTATGGCTTGCAACAATTACCCAATTTCAAATAAAGTACCTGTGGCTAGAAATTATACAGTTAAATTTGTCAACCATCACTACCACTGCACTAACCTGAATAATTTTTTAGAACTTCTAACTTTCTATCCAACAAAATGGAGTCTCGTATCACTAAATTCCCCTCTGATGAAATCATGATTCTCAGTGTCATCAATCTTCACAATCAACAGTGTCCTTTCTTCTTTTCCACTGACTGGATTGACAAATGACTTTGTTACATGAATGACCTCAAATAACTCAATCAGACTTTATAGCTGTTATCAGACTGAAGGCAACACAGGAAAAATATCACTATTTGTCTGTTATCTTTAGATGCTAACTGGAATCCTGGATATCTTTAATCTTTTGTTCTCCATTATTTCTGTCTGGACTGTTGATTACTGTTTTATCATTTAAAATACTCTGTCAAAAGATTAAGTGAACATGTTGAAAAAAAGATTTCCACATTACGAATAATTTTTGAACAGTCATATTAGTTCTCAACAAGGCACATAGAGACCAAGACTCATTAGAAACTGAGAACATTATTAAAACTGAAAATGCATTGTGCGACTGAAGGATCATCCTTTAGATGAACATAAAACCGAAGTCCTGTCTGCTTGCTTAGGTGGGAGATGCAGATGCACTCCTTGAAGAGAAGCAGGGAAAATGTGCCCAATTTCCTGATCAACATTCTTCTTCCAAGCAATATCATCAAAAACAATTAGTCATTGTGAGGACCTGCACTATACAAAATCGATGTGGTGTTTCACTACATTATAGTCACCTCATTTATACTTATTACTAAAGATGTCTTCCTTCCTTTACTCTCAATTTTTCAATAGCTAAGTAATTGCAGAAAAAAGAATTATTCACCTTCTTCCTGAGCAAAATGTTGCTGATCAAACTGCTATTTCTTATGATTGTATGTGCTGGACCTCTAAGCATATCTTCTATCTCCTCTTTAATTAAGGCTATTTACAATTCAGTCTTCTAGTCAATTTCTAGTCTTCTGACCACCATCTGTCGAACATGAAAGTACATGCACTGAATAAACTTAAAAATTACAGACATATTCAACAGAATACCATTCTTGTTTAACAAACGGTAATGTAACAGGAAGAACTTTAATGCAAAAATGAATCTGGGCACCACAATTATGTTACAAAATGCTTAGAAGTTTGTGACTTTCTCTAAATTTGTGAGAGTTTGAGTAAAATATATACTGAGCAGCATTTGTTATAATTTGCAAAAATGTCTGTTTTGAAGTCCACTGAGACCTTTTTTGTTCTATGTTAAGGTGCTATATAATTGAAAAATATTTCCATGATAATTTGCAAAGTGGTTTACAATAATGGTAAACAGCAAAAAATTACTGGAAATACAGTTAATTTTTACGTAGCACAAGGAACTTGCCAATGAAATCCCCAAGCTGTTATTTTGCATAAAATTAAACATCTCTGAAATAAATTAAAAGCCATCAAAAACAGCTTTTAAATGCAATAGTTTCGCATCCATTTCCCTGCAGACATTGATACATTATGAGGAAGGAGTTATATCAAAGACAAAAATTATGCTGAACATACCAACGCTATAGCAACAATGTAAACTTAACCAAGTTCTTTTAGGTTCGCAATAACATCTCATGCCATTTATTGTAATGTTTCTCCAGATCATAAATTATAGCCCCCAATTAATAGGCAAATGTAGAGTTAAGAAAAATGCCTCATATTTGATTGCTGATCTGTGCTTAAAAAGCAGGAAAGGGTTTTATCACAAGTCTCAGTGTTCCCAAGTTAAAGATGAGAAGGTCAGCTAAATTTTGGATTAAGTACAGACAAGGTAAATAGGTAAAATCACCACAGTCCTACCAGAACTTAGCACAGGGCTGCTCTCTTGTTAGAGTATGACTCAATGGTGGTTTAACCTGAGGGTCACCCTGCCTCAGGCTAGAGGAGAGGTTGAGAAGAAGAGTTCTTCACAGTAACCTCAGTAGGTGCAGGAAGTATATCCACACCGTTGGCATCATGCTGCATTGCAAATCTGTCATCTAACCAACTGAGCTAACTGACACCCTATACACAAATTTTTTAAAATCTATTTATATTTGATTTTGTCTCTCATTTTTATGTCAATTCTTGTGTTGCATGGTATACAGCTATAGAAAAGGGTACTGCAGCTCAAGCACTGATGTAACATATTACATGTAACACCTTTCCAATATATGTTCTTGATTTTCTGGATCTGTCTTTGGATAACAGTCTTAAGCTACTGAAATGCTATCTTCTTGACTTGCAAAATTGGGTTGTTCAGCCAATCAAGGCTGTTCATTTTTGTTCCAGGTCATCACATATTTCAGCATTGTCACCGAGACTAATTTTGATGAAAACAATGATGCTTGAAATCAATGATCTGGATACAGGAGTCTATTACAGCTGACTTAATTTGATCCTATTGCTTTGGAATTGAGTTGAATATGTGAAAATTTTCCAGGATCATTGTAGGTTGACTTGTAATTTCTCTCTTTGGTCAGACTGTTTTGGGGTTGAGACATTGATGATCATCCTCTATGGATTTGGAAGGAAAAAAGTTAAATACTCCCACCACTGGTGGACTTCAGGAATGTGAAAATTTCAACTGTCTACAAGAAGTAAGAGAAATCATTCTGTAGAAACTATTGAGGTATTTCCCTCTTCTCTATAGCAGGGAAAATACTAACATGAAGTCTCCTGAATCATCTATGTGATATTGGAAAGACTATCAGTACTTCAAAGTTGATTAGGTACCAGAACCCGATGTGAAGCTTTCAAGGACATCAAAGCAAGTCAGAGTAGAAATTGCAGAGGCACTGACAATAATCCTTAAATCTTTTCTGGACTTATGGATGATGACAGAGGACTGGAGCTTTACATGTGTATTACTGTAGTGATCAAAACCAGGTGGATCTTATTGGCTATGAGATCTTTGATTGGGGTTGTTAACCTGAACCAATCAGGGAGCCCTGGGTGACAGATATAAACAGGAGATTCAGAATCTCCTCATTTCAGGGACTGACTTGCCACAGTGCACATGTAAATTAAGAGTGACTTGGTAATGGGATATTGTGCAGTTATTTCAATTACCCTTGTTCAAAAGGAGTTTGACAGATATGTCTAGCAAGTAATTTTAATTGGTGGGGAAACTTCTTGAAACAATTATTTGGGACAGAATTAAAAGTCACATGGAAAAATATGTGTTAATTAGGAAGAGCCAGGTCAGATTTCTAAAGGGAAAACCATGTTTAATTAACTTGCTGGAGTTCTTTGAAGAGGTTACATTTGGTGTTGATAACATTCATATCAAATTTCAATTTTTCTAAATATTGAGTTTCCTCTTCTGTCACCAAGATCTGGATACATGTCCTTCCTTAAAAAAGACAGATGTAAAATCTTTAGTTGACACCTCAGCCATGTCTCCTGCCTCCATATGTAAATTCACATTACAGTTGCTAATTGGACCCACCACTCTTTTACTGTTTATGTGCCTGTAGAAGACTGAAATTCCTCTTTATGTTAGCTGCTAGTCTTTTCTTTTCATAATTTTTTTTGCTATTCATTTATTTTTCATATCCCTTCTGAACTGTCTATATTCAGCTTCATTCTTTATTGTATCTAACTAAACCAACTAAATGCACACTTTTTCCATGTCTTGTTTCTTTTATTCCAGGGAGCTGAGTTTGTTTATCTTATCTTTCCTTATGATGTCTGCACATCTCTGAAATTTCCTTTCATGTTTGAATAGTTCTGAGGATTGTTTACACCCATCTAAACAGGTTTTAACATTTCATCCAAAAGTTGGCACATCCAACAGTGTGGCACTCCTTCATTACCAATCCTCTAACAGCATTGTGCTACCTCAGTGGTGACTGTCCACAATTAAAGTATCAGATGAAATTCCTCCACTCTTAAGAACTAAATTAAGCTGTTTTTATTGTGTGAAGTCTTCAATTGATTTTGTTTATATGCTGCCATCCACCCAAAAGGAAACAGGTTCTTCATTTTGATTTTCACCCTTTCCACAAATTAGTTATCTATATTCAACATCAGGCAACTTTATTGCACCTGGCTTTTAGATAGAGAAAACATGTTGCCATTGGTGGTCGGATTGAAAACTAGAGGGCACAAACTTAAGGTAAAGAATAAAAAAAATCTTCATATAGTGACAGGTCGACCCTTGCACTGTCCAAGATGTACAGGAGTCAAGCTCAATCAAGACATTCAAGAAGGAACTGGATTATCTGAAAACAAAGTATGTGCAGGTCTACAGGCAAGAAACAGGGAGTAGCTCGAGTTCAACTGCTCCTTCGGTGAGCCAGCATGACAGAACGAATGGTCTCCTTCCGGACTGTAACTGTTCTTTATTCATAGGATTTAAATGGTTTGTGTGATCAGCTCACAAACGTGACTCAAATGAAAGCAAAGTTACAGACTTCGGAGATCTGAAATAAAAACCCAAAGCTCCTGGGAGACTCAGCTGGTTTGGTCGCTGCGAAAGACGCGAATGTTTAAAACAAAACAGAAATTGCTGGCGAAACCCTGCAGGTCTGGCAGCATCTGTAGAGAGAAAACAGAGTTAACATTTCGAGTCCAGTTCTCTTCAGATAACAAGCACCATCTCTCCACGGATGCTGCCAGACCCGCCGAGTTTCTCCGCTAATTTCTGTTTTTGTTTCAGATTTCCAGCATCCGCAGTTCTTGGTTTTAATTACTCGAATGTTTAAGCGTGTTCTCTCTCCGCAGACGCTGCCAAACCTAAGTTACCCCAAAACTTATTCTCAATCACAAATACGCGACTCACGTTGTATCTTCTATCACAGGCGACAGCTCCCACACTCTGTAATCGAAAAAGAAAATATTTTAAAAAGTATGAGAACCATTATTTAAAATAAAATCCCTTTTGACAAAAAAATCAACAACCGTGCCCGTTCGAGCAGTGGGTCTGGCATCTAGAAACTTCGATCTAAGGCATTTACGCTTTCTGTCAAACTGCCCTTTCGGACTCGTAGACAACAAGATGCAGAGCTGGATGAACACACCAGGCCAAGCAGCATCATAAAAGCAAAAAGGCTGACGTTTCCGGCCTACAGCCTTCATCAGAGAAATTTCGGACTCTTGCCTGTCTTCTATTTGTATTTTATTTTTTTCCTACTCTTCCCCCTTTTAATGTTTCACGTACTGTCAATTGGATCTCACTGTTCTTTTCTCTCACTCATTCACTCGGGAAGCTGAGACCAGCCGTTATGATTGATGTCAACGTCCCCGACTTCGCTGTCCTCTCGGTTGGGAGCCGCAGTGTGACGCCGCTCGCAGGGCGGACCTTGCTCCAGTGGAACACATCAACTGGGCGGATCCTTTGTCCAGGGCCCAACGCCGTGCGGCACCCCGGACCCAAAGAGGAGTCACACACTCACCTTCGCTTCCTTCCCCCGCACCCCCTCGCGGACAAAACGGAGATGGCTTGCCGCTTTTCTGCGTGTTAAAAAAAGGTATCCAGTCGGGCTCGCGTGTGATTTTTGTTTCCCCCTGAGGAAAATGACGGAACCGAATGAATTTATCGATTGGAATATTTATATTTTGGCGCAAATTCTCCAACCGGCGGATGTGCAGCCGGCGAGATCGCGCGTGACGTCACTTCCTCCGGGTGGGGGAATGTTTGTTCCTGAGGGAGTGAACAGCCCCTGCCCCCCACTCCCCTCTCCAAACTAAATAAACACATTAACTTCGAACAGGGACTGGCAATGTGGGTAAAGCCCGCGGAGGCAGAGTGCGGCCCACTGCTCGGGAGGTGAGCTGGGATTGCGCGATGTGTTTGTGTTTCAGTCAATGAACTGCCCTGGCTTAGCGTTAACCGGCATCAGCTTGGATTTTACACCTCAGAGTTTATGGGAATAGCTGGCATGCTGGGAATAATAGCCTGTGATCGGCTAGGAGTGGCTGGCACCCTGGGATCAACTGGGAGTAATAACTTGGGATCAGCTGGGAATGGCTGGTAGTATGGGATCTGTTGGGACTGGCTGGCTGTGTGGACTCTGGGCAATTGCTGGCAGTGGGGCTCTGATAAGAATGGCACTCTGCAATTTACTGGGAGTGACTGGCAGCTAGGACTCAGGTGGGAATTCCTGCCTGACTAGGCTTAGGTGTGAATTGCAACCTGGAATCTGATGACAATGGCTAGAAACCTGGGAATGGATGGGATTAACAGATGCAGTTCTGATGGGAATATATTGCTAGCCAAATAGACTGGTGGCAGTCAGCTGGCTATTCTGGTAGCTGTGAGCCAGTAGTTTGGACTTTGGTATCTTTGGTTAGCAACCAGAGTTCTGATGTCAGAGTATTGGTGATTCTGCATTGGATTTGCATATTGATTGCAGTTGGTATGCTCTGGGTCATAGACCCAGGGCTGGTAAGTGCTTGCAGTGTTTAGAAGCTAGAGTTTGGGGATCAATGGATGTGGAATGACACTGCCATGATTGGGGCATCTGAATTGCAACACCTAGTAATTATTTTGACATTCAACATCAGATGAGAATAACTGAATCATGTTTTCTGCCTCTGAAAATGTGAGGATATTTTAAAACTTTCTTGCTCATGTCTCAAATCACAGCTGGCTTCATTCAAGTATCCTTGCTAATCTACATTGACTCCTGTTTAAGCAGCATCTTGGCTCTCAATTATGAGCTTTGATTTTGAATCTTTCCATATCTCTGCACCATCCTCCAGGTGCATCCTCTGAGAAGTCTGTGTGTTTCTAATCCTGGCCTTTTGTGCATCCCCAGTTTTAATTTCTCCATGACTGGTAGCTTTTCCTTCAGTTGACTAGATCCTAAGCCCTGGAATTCTCTTAAAACCCTTGCCACACCTCTTCATCTCTACCTTGCTTTTGTCTTATTAAGGCACTAGTTAAATCTCTTTCTTTGACCAAACGTTTAGTCATCTAACATTATATTTTTTTTTATGTAGCACAGTGTCATACTATGTTTTGTAATGTTCCTGTGAAGCATCTTGTGATATTTCATTGCATAAAAACCATTAAATAAATACACAATGAGTTGTTATTAAGATGGCAATGAACCCAGAAATGGTAGATAATCAGATTTAAATTGTACAAAATTTAGACGGTTTACAGTCACACAACTGAAAGGCACTAATGCAATAACTCAGTAGGTAATCTGTTGTGGTGGTCACTAACTAGTTTGCACTGAGTTATACTTCACTTCATTGTGACTAAGTATGTAATAGTTTTCAATAAGCAGGTCTAAAATGTAGGCAGGTATTTTGTTGTTCATTGCTACCCAGCAGTCTCCGCTCCAAGTGCTTTTCTGTGTGGACATGTGAATACAAGATCAAACATAACTGTTAATGCTGCCGTGATTGATTAAACTTCAGGTTGGTAATATGTCTATTTGCCATTCATCAATGGGTTGCTATCCTCACTTGCTATTCTCCATTGCAGACTTTTATTTCTTCAACTGGAATATAGATGGGCTGTGCACATGGCCACTGGAAAGAGGGTGTTTAGCAAGGCTGAAATGTTCATCATATTGGCAGGAGTTATTGTCAGGTAGCCATCCAGTGATTCAGTTGAGAACTGATTGAGCTCATAATTGAGTTGATAGAGAGTTGGTATATCTACAGTCAGGAAGCCAAGGCACTGGTGACTGTGGACCAGATGTGTGGAGGTGTTAGTTGTAGTTTTCTGGTTTCTGGTCATTGTGAAAAAATGAGATTTGTTGTTGCAGGCAATTCATTCATAGACTCAGATTTTCACAGCACAGAAGGGAGCCATACTGTCCATTGTGTCTGTGCTGGATATCTCATTAGTGCCCAAATGTTACAAATGTTTCTGACTCAACCACTTTATTTTAGGCAGAGAATTTAAACTCACACTACCCTCTGGGTGAAAACTTTTGTCTTCAGTTCTTCTCTGAACTTTCTATTCCCACCTTAAATCTACACCCTCTGGATATTGACCCCTCTATAAATGTGAAAAGTGCTTTCCAATCCACCCTATCTACATTTTCATAATCTTATAGACTAACCCAGGCAGCATCCTGGTAAATCCCCTGTGTACCTTCTCTAGTGCAATCTATAATGTGGTGACCAGAATTACATGCAATATTCCTGTTATGGCCCAGCCAGTTCCAATGTAACGTCCCTGCTCTTGTATACTATACCTCAGCTGTATACATATCCCATATACATTCTTAGCCATCTTACCTATTTTTCTATGTCACCTTCATTCATCTGTAGATGTGCACACCAAGGTTCCTCTGGTCTTCAGTACTTTTCAGGTCCTTCATTCATTGTGAAATCCCTTGCTTTGTTAGCCTCCCCAAGTCCATTAACACTCATTTTTTCAGAGTTCAAATTTGAGTTGACACTGCTCTGCCCATCAGACCAGACCATTGATCTCCTGCAGTTTATGGTTAACCTCCTCACTAATTACCATCCTACCAATTTTTGTGTCTACCACAAACTTCTTGATCATACCCTCTACATTTAAGTGGAAGTCATTAATGTATACCACAAATAGCAGCTGCCTGAATGTTCAACCATGTGGAACCCCACTAGAAATAATCTTCCAATCACAGAAACATGCTTCTACCATCACCCTCTACTTCCTGCCTCAGCTAATTTGAAACCAGTGTCCCACTTTGCCTGTGGGCTCTTACATTTTTGACGAGTCTGCTACCCTGTCAAAAGTCTTGCTGAAGCCCATTAAGGCCTAATCAAGTACATTGTCCTCTTTATTAATACTTTGTGTCAATCTTCACAATGGTAAATGTATAGATATCAGGATAAAGGGCTGTGAAATATTAGAAGAAATTAACAGAGAGTGAGAAGGTACTAGCATGGTTAGCAACCTCAAAAATGGAGAAATCCACAGGCTGGAATGAGATGTGTCCCAGGCTATTTATTTTGATAATATACTGGCAATAGATTCCCTTCTTGAACACATGGTGAATAACCAATAATGTTTTCTGCACTGTCTTTTGGATAAAATCAGATATAGGGAAGAGATCTTTGATTTAAGTGAGAGTCAGTGGAAGAAAATTACAGTTTACTGCTTCTGGTTGTAATTTGATGGGTCAATCATACATATTTTTCTTAAAAATAGTCTGTCACCATATATGGGAACAGAAAAAGTTAGTGTTTCAAGTGAAATCTGACTATTCTTCTGAAAAAGAACCATTTGAGTCGAAGGAGAGACATATTCAACTCAACACATTAACTCAATTACTCTCTCCAAAAATGCTGCCAAACCTACTGATTGTTACATCATTTGCTTGTTTTATTTTAATTTTAGATTTTTACTTTTATGTGAGTGTTTCGCAGTTTGACTTGTCATATGATCTTTTCATGAGATGTACTCTAATATTTACACGTGCTTTTTTTATATGTGATAACTATTGGAGAGGTCAGGAAAAATAATTAGAGATCTGTAAATCTGTGTCAATCATACTTTTTAAAAATAGAAAATCAAGCTTGTACAACTTTTTCACACAGTGGGTCGTGTGTAAATGGAATGAACTGTCAGAGGAAGTGGTAGATGCAGGGACAGATACCATATTTAAAAGATATTTTGACAGGTACGTAAATAGAAAAGGTTTACAGGGATATGAGCCAAACAGAGGCAAATGGGACTAGTTAAGTTTGGGAAACCTGGTCAACATGGGTGAGTTGGACCAAAGGGTTTGTTTCCATGGTGTATAACTCTGTGACTCTTTGAGTCTGTTGAGGAAAGCAAGGGAGGAGATATCCAGACAAGCTCCATCCAAGCTGTGTGGCTGCACAGCCACTCTGAGGGTCTGTGTACACCAATCAGTGTGTCGACTCATTGGCAATAACTTCCAAAACTGAAAATCAGTCAGGGACCTCAGAGGACCATGCAGAAGGTTTTTAAAAGATGAAAAAGAAGGGATGGACCAGGAAATTAGAGGCTATTGAGTGCAACCTCTGTGGTGGGGAAATTAAAAAGACTTCTGAGACACTGAATATATCTTCACTTGGAGGCATGGATTAATCATGGATAGTCAGCGTGGATATGTTAAAGGAACGTCGGGTTTGACAAATTTGAATTTTTTGAGGCGATCAGGAGACCCCAGCACCTCAGACCCCAAATAGCTTAACCCCTGCCTCACTCAGTAACCTGGAATACGTCCCATTCGGCCCTGCACATTTATCCACATTTTTAAAGGCTGCTAAACCTGCCTCTGTCTGTTAATTTCTTCAAATATTTTGCAGTCCTCCACCTGATCTCTACCCACGTTGTCCATTTCCATTTTGAATATCATTGCAAAGAATTCATTGAGAACTGTTACCACGTATTCTGGGTCCACAGACAGCTTACCTCTATGATTGCTAGTGAACTGTACTCTTTCCATAGTTAGTCTGTTGCTCTTTATGTATTTAAAAAAATTCCTACCCATCTTTGCTTTCTCATGTCCTCAGCTTTCCCAATTTCCTCTTTTAAGTTTCTCCCTTGCATACCTAATATACACCTCTAGGTGCATTGCTGCATTGAGCCCTGAGCTTTTTTTTCACTTAATCATGACTTTTATGTGTATTGAAATCCATAGTCCTCTAGTATTGGGTACACCCTTTGTCTTTACAGGAATATACTTGCCCTAAACTTCTGCTGTTTCTTCCTTGAATGCGTTCCACTGCTCTGACACAGTTTTATTGCAAGTAGCTGCTCCTGGTCCACTTGTGCTGAATTGTATCTTGTCTTAGTTAAATTAATCTTTGCCAGTTTAGAACACTTATTCCTGCCTCATCCTTATT